CCAGACAATGGTTCACTCCCTTCACAGTTAAGATGACTCAGAGATCGACTCACCTGTTATCCACACTGAAAGTCTTCAGCTCCTTTGGTGATGTTTTCAGTGTCCACAGTTGTGCTTCTAATCACTTTTAAATATATAAACACTTTAATAGTTAAAACATCTCACCTAATAAAAGCACTTTGATTTCTCTGCGTTCTCGTTTCTTCTGGTCTGCAAGGATTCTTTTGATTTCATTGTGTATGACAACGGCGTTCTTCTCATCTTCAGACAAGCAACAGATGCACGACGTGTAGCACCATCTCCAACAGCCCCCCATCTCCGCTACAGGACAAAAATAACCCTTCAAGCCATCAAGAGATAAATATTCCATGTAATGTAATGCTTATTAAGAAAATTAGGTCTGTATGATAACAAAATACCGATTTTAGAACGCATATAATAGCGAAGTTGTTTTGAGTCGAAACTTTTATGTGAATCAATTGACTGAACGATTCGTTCACGAATAGGACTGTATCGGTCTGAGAGGTTCTTCAGAAGGTCGACTGATAAATAAGTAGCATTTTTATTCAAAAATAACGCTCATTTATTGTAACAAATTGTATTTAGGTACAAATTTACTTTGTTGTAAGAGCCATGTTGGCTGCAACAAACTTAACTGAGACACGAGTTTCTAATATGCGAGAAAGATTATTGCGTTGTGACATAATAGAATCACTGAATCGTTTTAAAGCGACCAGTTCGACAGAACCGATTCTCGGAAGTGAGCCGAGCTTCCATCATTAGTATACCCTCAAATCTATAAAATTCCATTCCAGTGTATACGTATGGGCTACACGCATGCGTGTAATAGACTATTCAGGGGGAAACCATTTTTTTATTTGTTCAATTTTTGATATCTACTGAAAACTCTTGTTAAACATTACAAAATCTTGGACTTCCCCTACGACGAAAAAGACGAAACCTAATACTTATTGCAGGTGCGCACAGGCTAACTACAAAGACAGAAACAAACTGAATAGAGTTAGAGATTAACGTTACAACATAAACGCGATGAATCTCTTACCTGCATTCGTCGACACACCGGTACGGAGTCAGTAATGCCTTTACGAAACACGATCCATTAGTCTATTCTCCCTGAGCCGAACTGGGTTTAAACCAACTTCTTTCTCTTGTAGAGGGTTTTCTCAAAAAGCTTCCCCCCAAACAATCCAAATTCTTCTGAAAACTTCACATGATTTTTCCTCCTTGGCTTCAGACAGCTCTACCTGCAATTCAGGAAAGTCCTTCTTGAACGCGAATTGTCACTGTGAAAATGGGCCGTCTCAAAATCTAGTCAGCTGCCTACTCAGACAGGGGTTGGGGCATTTTAGGGGAATAGAACGCAAGGGTCTCGGGGCGCGTTTTCAAAAGTTTTTAGTTTGACGCGAAACGCTGGAGACGCGACGCAAGGTCCGTCTGACGCATGCGTATATAACCCGAAAAGAACCGACAAGAACGCGACCGATGTGAATGCTGTGTGCTAGACAGCATTTTTAGGCATCCTATCTCCCAAAAATGCCGTCTATTTAGACAGGTTACTACATTTTGAAACACATCCATTCGTCAGTGGAATGCGCGCTAAACCTTAGCTGTTGACAGTATACTTGCCAGTATAATTGACAGTATACTTGCTAAGAATGACCCAAGCAGATGAGTGTAGATTATTAGTTTTGAGTATCAAATTGAAGAAAAACATCCAGTTTCAGGCAGAAAAGTACAAAACCTGCTTTAGAAGTCACAAGTGGTGTTAACTTCTTGAATAGCTGTGCAGGTATTTGACACTCCTCTCTCTTGGGCTCTAGAAGTCAGTCTTTTGTCTTTGTAGGCAGAACCGGTTTATCAGGCCTTTCACGGTGTTGTGAGATATTGAGATTGCCTATAGTCCACATATTGCCATGGGAACCAGGTAAGTAAGTCAAAGTCCCGGAGAAAAAAAGGATGATTTTTTTAAACACGGTTTAGGAGAATCAACTAAACATGATACTAAATATTTCCGAAATATGATTTCAAACATGTAAAAACTTACCTGAGGGTATGAACGGGCAGAAATAGCGGACTCCTCCGTTTGAAAAATTAACCGTCACTGTCGCGAGGTTCATCTCCGCCAATCCACCAATAGGAATTCAAGGATGATGCAACACATATACGCCACCAGAGGGCATTTTTACGATTATTTGTTTTTAATACACCCTTGGGGTTAGATTCATTAAACCATCACAATAATGGTATGGTACAAAATAAAGAAAACACCTGGTTAGTTTATTTATTTCACAAAATGATTCGTCAAAAAGGCAAACTATAATGTATATAAGTTTCATGCTAATGTACAAACTTGCATTAAAAAAAGATCAAATCAAGATAATATTTGTTGACTCTCTTGTTTTAGACTACAGCAGTCATTCTCCTGTATCTTGACTCAAAAAGCTTTGTGAATGTGTTGTATATGCTTATAATTATTGTGTAATCTTTAGTTTATACTTCAGTAATAAAACATGAATTATAGAACCATTTTAATAAAAAAGGTTCTTTGCTCTCCAAGGGTTCTACATAGAACCATTTTTTTGGTAAAAGGTTCTATTGGCCAAGTACAGAACCCAAGGGTTCTACATAGAACCTCAAGGAACCCTTTTTTTTAAGAGTGTAGAATATAATTGTAATATCAACACACCTTCCTCAATAACCTATAGGTTTCAGTCACGTGACTGGCTCGAAGACATGGAGGACAAAACATCCATAGAACTGCAGCACAAGCCTGTCAATTTTCCACCAGTTTCCAAGCCACAAATATTAGATCACCTATTAAAAGAAATTTGATAATGCATACTTTATAAAGACAAGATGAGCCCTATATGGGCAAACACTTCATGTGAAACTTTGCACATTGCGCTTATATTCTGGGCTCATCTGATTTCCTGTACAAAATGTGCATCATCAATAAGGGTTATACTAAATTTGGTCTTTTAATATCACTTTCTTAATTTATGATATTTTAAAAATATATAGGTAGCTTATATCAAATTTTAAAAAGCTTATATAAAATTAAAAACACTTTTCATGCAGAAATGGCACGTACATTTGACAATAATTACAAATAAAACCAAGTAACACTAAATTAAATGTGTAACTTTGAAGTAGGAAGACTGAATATTCTTTCAAAAACATACTCCAATAATCTTTTTTTTTTTCAATAAGTCATTTTTACACTGCATCCACCTTATGTGCAATGCAAAGAGTAAGCCATTTTCTTTGAATATGCGAGACTTCTGCTTCATTAGCTACAGTAAATAAGTAAAGAATAACGAAATGCAGTAAACTGTAAAACTGTTTGTGCTTCAAGGCAGTGTTTTTTATGATTATGATACATTTTAAAACATATTACAAATACCAGTTTGCAGTATAAAGCAGCATAACAGATTGTTTTTGTACAGATAAAGTTCATAACTCTTCAATGATGCTTCATTGAATTAGAAAATCCAAACAAACAAAAATGTGATGGGCAGCTGATACGAATGGAAGAAGTGACCTGGAAAGTAGGCTATACCTGTTGGAAGATGACAGCTATGCTTTCAGTTATGCAAGGCAAGTAGAATCAAAACAAACTTTGGAGTAAAATTGTGAAGGCTGTTGTTGTGGAATTGCTGCTCACTCCATGCAAATTCAAAATTGTTTCTTGGCAGAGCTCATACTCTGTTTCACACACAAAATGCAATACAATAAAGATGTAGATCCAGGCATCCAAGGATGATTTAGTTTTGATATTAAAATGATTCGAATGTTTTGGATTTGTTGAACCGCTTTAAATGAGATAAAACCGAAGCATGTGCTTCGATTTACAAGATTATGTAGGCTATGACTTTTTATTGCTTTTGTTAAATGACCTATTTTCAGTGGAAAATGTATGTATCCTCTGCTTTTGCATTATAGATTTAAATGGTCATGAGATGTTGTGGCTTTTTGGTTACAAGAAGACACTGGGTCCTTATTGCCCTAAAGAATAGATGATATTCTGTTAATGTGTATGTGCAGGGTTCCTGGAAATCCTCAACACTGTGTTTCATTTAGCTTTTTTGACTGGTCCAGTGTTAACTGGCGCTACAGTCTATAAAACAGCAATGTTCCAACAGCACTAGCACTTTTCATTGCTCTTTACAGATTGTCAGTTTGCAAATTATGGTGGGGATTTTCCAGTCGTTCTTTCTGCAGGTTATGCTGTTACGCCAGTAGGTGGCAACAAGTGACTGCATTTATGCATTCACTAAACCGATTCGTTCAAAACATTCATTTGAGAATGAAATTCATTCACTCAACTGATTTGTTTAAAAATACTGATGCTATATCCAAAAATAACTCCCATAAACTCTTCATTCATTATTTCCTACATTACTCCACTAATTTAGTCCACTGAAAGACACACTGAGTGCGCCGGAAATACTGCAGACGCCATATTCTAGCGGCTAGTCATTGAGTGTACATTAGTAGTACACTTGTTTTTGGGCATCTGTAACACCACAGTTCTCTTTTTTGTGGTATTCCTTTACTACTTAATTTACTATTTAATTTTATGTTGAACTGTACAATACAACTAAATAAGAATGGCTTTATATTATAAATATAATTTACATTTACTAGGGGAAACTTAATTTTATAGTTAATTTGAGATATCAAAGTCACACTGAAATGTGAATTTCATTGCGTTAAATAACAAATGGATGCTAAAGCTTTTCAAACCACTTTTCTGAGCCATGTTTTTAATTATAACAGCTGGCGTCACACTGATTTGTAATGGGTGTATAAAGTCAGTTTTCCTCATCACATTAACATCACATGGCTTTTTTAGCCATTTTAAATCTCCCTTTATAAAATAGTCGAAGTTTAACATGTAAATATATATTAGTTAAGCAAAATAAAATAAGCAAAATAAAAGCTAACCTATAATTACATTTTGTCCAAGTGTGCTCAGTTATAAATATTGCTAAAAAAATAAATAAAAATATTGTCAAAAGAGTATGCAAATGTGCCTCCATAGAATAGTAGTGTTTCTGAACGTACATGGATTGGCATTGGGATCAATATAGTCTGATGCCGAGTGCCTTGAAGGTGCACCTGGGGCTCATTAGAACATTCCACAGTCCTCTAAGGCCTTGACGAGGATAGTCTCTTTCATGTCACTGAAGACTTTCCGGATGTTTTTAGTGTCTGTGGCACAGGTGAAGTGAGGGAAGATGGTTTTGGGGTTCTTTGTCTCGAAGGAAACTGCTCTTTGTCTGTATAAATTTCTGATGAACAGCATGGCATCTTGAATGTCCCGACGTTTGCCTGAAGGTGGCGCCAACCGCATAGGAAAGGAAAGAAAGAGCGAATCAGATATGACAAACAAGAGATGCATGTATAATCTTGCCTTTCAACTCATTTAATGTGCACCAAACTACCGTTAAATTCAGGAAAATATGTTTTTAGATCTGAGAACTGAATCTTCTCAGCCATGATGTCCATTTTGTTCAGGAAGAGGATGATGGAGGAATTAGCAAACCACGTTGAGTGGATGGTCGTGTAGAACAGCGACAAACTCTCTTCCATACGGTTCTGGAGAAAAAGAGAGTTAGATTACACAGACTAACAGATATATGAATATTAAAAAGAAGGACAGGACATATGATGAGAAAGGCAGACACTTACATCCTTGTTATTCTCCTCAAGGAGTTGGTCGTACTCACTGAGTGAGGCTAAAAATATGAGTGACGTCACATTCTCAAAGCAATGGATCCACTTCCTTCTTTGTCCCCTCTGACCCCCGACATCTACAATCCTGAAAAGACAGACAGACCAGAAATCAAGTTCAGTCATCCACTTTTCTATTTGATCTTGCTGTGGTAGGTTCATAACAGCCCCAGATTTGTCCCTAAAATCTGTTCCTTCTTCCCTTTTGTCAGATTTCTTCCGACAAACAATGACTCAGCTTGATTTCCTTGAAAATTCAGTCTTATCTGCATAGTTAACTCATTTGCCTGTGGTTCTTTGTCAGTTATGTAAACACAACAAATCACTTGCGATTTGTGTGAATAGTGCAAAGGCTTTCTTTGTGTTTTAGGACATAATATTATCATTAGTTGAAGGGATAATTCACCCCAAAAATTGAAACGCTGCCATTTACTCACCCTCATGTTGTTCCAGACATTTAAGACTTAATTTCTTCTGAGAAAGAGGATCAGATATTTTGAAGAATGTCCATAATGTCCATTTAAAATAAAAGTCAATGGGGTCCAAAACAACAGGTTATTTGGCGACAACATAAAGGGTCTATCAATATCATTTTTTAAATGCTAAGCATAAGCGTCAAAACTGAAGCATACTTTGAGCTTTCAAGTTATTGACACATTAGAATAATAAATAACCATGCTTGAATGATAAAATAAAGCACAGGATGTGCCTGATGCACAATAAGTCCTGAAAAAGAATGGCAAATGTGCTTACTGACATACACCTAAAGCACATGCACAGCCCTGTGTGAGTACCCAGTTGAGTTTTCTTTCATGAATTATTGCACTTGAATGGTCAAATACACACAGAATTATGTCAAAATGCCATTAACGTAAACAGTTGGAAAAGAAATTAGCATGTGTGTCAGTACATTAGGCCTTCAAAATATCTTTTATTGTGTTCCACGGAAGATAAAAAGTGACGACAGTATTTGGGTGAACTGTCCCTTTAAATGCCAGCATAACTTCTATTGTTAAGGGGTTTGGTTGTTCATTGCTGTACCTGAGAGTCATCTTCTCCAAAGTAAAGCAATGGTCACTGATGCCGGTAGTGGGGAACCGGACTTGAAGAACATCTTGAGGTGTTGGGATGTAGCCTTCAGCTGCGATGCGGTCCAAGTCATCAATAAAACTTTAAAGAACACAGAATTCAAACACTCTTACTGAAAATCCATGTGCCACAGAACTGATTATGAAAGCCTTATTTGCATAACATTCAATGCATGCATTGGCATCAGGAAAGAGGAAATAAACAAAAATGCAGGTAGTCAGTAAAGGGCAGGAACTCTCTGAAATACACTTACTATTTAGTGGAGTCTAGTAGCTGATACTCTCTGCGCCGTCTGTAACAAATCTTAAAGCCTTTGTCTGCCCATAGATGATGAATAGCCTCTACATAACTTCTCTGCAGCTGTGTTATCTGATGTATGTCCAGATCCTGGAACCACTGGGCATAAATCTATGGATATCACAGACCTAATCAGACTGACAATACATTACAGTATATGATCCAGTCTTTCTAAAATTGGTGCCAGCATATAGATAAAAATTATGTTGTTTTTTAACTGTTAGTATGTATGCAAAAAATTATTACAATTCATATTTTTTATGTATTTTATATTCATCCATTATCAAAATAAAAATGTGATTGCTGATATATAATGACCCTCATTAATCAATGGGCTCTAAAAACACACTTGGTCTCTTGATCACCTCGTTCTGTGGGTTGGAGTAGGGGATCTTTAGCATCTTCATGGCATCTGTCATTGCACTCATAGCTTGGAATACATTCTGAAAAACCAGTTTAGTGTAGCCACGCCTCTCGTCTTCTGAGTATCCGCTTCCATGAATGATTTTCATCTGCTTCATAAACGTTGTCTTTCCGCTTTCTCCCGTGCCTAAATAAAAGCCAAATAATCATGTTTCAACATAAACACCTGCACACAGGAAAACTGAAAATCAATTTGCATACTAATAGTACTTTACTTAACTTTACACTGCTTTAAAATAGTCATTCGCCATTGTGCACCGTGGAATGCTTTCTGTCCCGTATAAGAATAATCTAAGTTTTAATTGTGTATTAATAGTCTTTTCAGAAAGCTCAACACTGGGTGTGTTTGAATGTTTCTTTTTGTATGTTATGTTGAAACCAGAAAATGTCTGTATGCACTGTATTACAATAATGTTGCTCCTGCTTTAGTGAGTGAAGGGAAGTCATACATCCACTAAAATTACCTCGGGACCAAAAAAGTGAAGTTAGTTTTGAGAACACTTTATAATAACTTTAATTTATAAACCATGAACAAATATTATATAATGCTGAACAGATCATTAATTAATATATATTCACATGGCTAGAAATATGAGATAATGCTCTTGTTAATGTTTACTAATGAACTTACTAAACATTACCTAATGATTAACTTATGATTATTTAATGTAAATTAAAATTCTTACAAATGTTAGTAAACTTTCAGTTCATATGATCTTCATTTGATGGTCTTTGTTTGTGGTGTAGACCTCTATTTACTCATATTAACAAATAATAATTATTTGTTCATGTTTTGGCAGTACCCAATCTAAAGTGGAAACTCTTCATCATTTGCAAATGTTTATAAACGTTTACTAATCATTAATACCTTCGTGAACAGTCATCTCAATGGCAAAAATTGTCCCGAAAGACCTGAATTTACCCTATTCATACATCCTTACTAATAATTTTTTAAAATAATTTGTTCATGTTTTTGCAGTAGCCAATCTAAAGCTGAAACTATTCGTCATTTGTAAATATTTATAAACAATTGCTAATTATTTAGTATCTTTATGGGCATTAGACTTTTAGCTAATGTAACAAGGTTTGTGTAAAGGGTGGCAGGTTAAGTTTAGCTAAATGCTTGCTAAAGACATAACAGATGTAATTTTGGAGAGAAAAAAAAGGTTTTATTGCCTCAACACTCACATTAGTCTTCAGTATATCATTAAACAAAATATTCCTTGAACCATAAATAAACAGGGGGAAACAAATCATTTTTTAAAAGAAAATACTTGTTCATTTATCAAAACAATGTAATATAAACAGATTGAACTGTGTTCCCTTCTAATCAAATTGACCCCTGACCCTTTAACCTAGGCTACCCTTAAACCTACCCACACCACCAAACCTGTCCCTAACCTTACCCGTATCGCACCTCAATAGCAGCAAAAGTGTTGTGCAATAACACAAGCTTTTAATCATTTTATAACATCTGTTAAAATCATTTGTAGATTTTCAATAAGTGCTTGATCATATGGAATTGAAAGTTTAATGACATCTGTAATCATTTGAACTTACATGACATAATAACTTGTTTGAACATGATCTAATGTTTAATAAGTGTATTAGCAAACATTAACAAGCACATTGTCTCATGTTTCTAACTCTTTGAATATATGTTAACTAAGCATTATATAATGTTTGTTAATGATTTATTAATGAGTTATTATAAAGTGTTACCAGAACGACAAGTCTAATCAGCTCTTACATTAACACATATCAGGAAGTTACCCTCAAGAGATGATGTAACAAACACCTTATGACATTTACTGGCACAACATTTAATGCTATGATTAAATTCACTTTCACTTTTAGAGAAAAGTTGAAATGAATCAGCATGTTTCTAATTTGAGTTAAATTGTGATTAAAGACTGACAGAATCATCTCACCTAATAAGAGCATCTTGATATCTCTCCGTTGTCTTTTTTTCTGCTCCGCAAGGATGCGTTTGATTTCATTATTGATGTAAATGGCGTTCCTCTCCTCTTCAGACAAGCAACAGATGAAACATGCACAGTAGTAGTAATGCCCCATTTCTCCAACAGAGTTAGAGTAACTATAAAAACAAAAACAATTCTTCGAATTATAATATTCAGCATTACTTTTTATTCTTTCAAAATGGGCATGTAGTATGTTCATCATTAATTAAATGTAGATTTGGCAGTTTGGGTTTGTTAAACTACTGTGCGGGAAGCTGGAGTGGAGTTTGAGCCGAGTGATTACATTGTTTTTACTCTGTGCGTTACACGCAACGCTTCAAAGCATTTGACTTCATCTGGAACTTTTTCGTTGGTGGAGAAGAAATAATACGAACTAGCTGGCCATTAGTTCTTTTTTTTTGTTTTGAAAATTGAGTTACTCCATATTAATTCAGGGCTATAACAAGCACCATAGACTTTGAGGAGAACAAGGAGTCCCCCCAGTAATCAGATACGGCCAAATTTGCTCCCTAAATTGGCATTTTTGACTGACTCAGCGGTCTAACCGCGCTCAATGTCAAAATGACTGAGATAGCCAATTAAATTCAAGGTGGCGGGCTTTTGTGTGGATTTAAAGCGCTACACCACAGTTTTAACAGTCAAAGAGTGTGAGGTACGATTTAAGTAATTATACATTTAATATTTGACCATTGTTTTACAATAAAAATGTTAAATGATTGACAATCACAATTAGTGATGCAAACTAATTTGTAATTGAATGTGCCATGACAAGATACACAACTGAGCTGTTTTCACAGATTATAGGCATATGATTAAGAATGAATGTGTGCATATTCTGAAGGAACGTGTTCTGTACCTGCTTAAAATTATTTAACTCAGACTTGAAGACTAATCCTTAAACCTAAACTAGAACAAGAAAAATAGTTTGGTCCCCCATGTTCAAGACATGGTCACAGCCTTGTATTACTTAGGACTTCTCGTTTAATTGATGTATGAAAGCCAAATGTTACACTCAAAATCGATATTCTGTTGTGTGATATTGGCTCCATAGCATCACCACTAATAGTGTGAACAATAGCTCACAATTGTAGATAAATCAAGCACTGACTGAAATGGAAATAGAAAAGTTCCTCTATGGACAACAAATAAACTTTTACATCACTGTATTCCACAACAATGAAAACATGACATGACAGTAAACATGACAAAGAGAAACACTCACCTTTATTTGTAAAACCTACGGAGTGAAATGGGAAACAACATCCATCTTCCTCAAAATAAACAGTGCATATGCCACCTTGAAGGAGATTTCCCAAATAGATTTTTTTTGTCAATTGTGTCATGCTCCTTCATTACAGACAAACCACTTTCATTTCCTGAAAGTCTGCCTTTAATGTGTAATATGCTGGGTATGTTGCAGAGCAGAAGAGAAACATGCCAAGCGTAGTAACTATTTAAAGTGACTGACATTATATTTTATGCTAGTAGTGCTTTCCATAGTATTGTGTTGTTTTATTAGGTTAGTTCGTAGAGGAGAACAGGGCTAGTTGTCACACAGGGAAGTTGTATGTTAATTACGGGTTCTTTTGACCATAACAATGGTTTACTGTCGGTTTTAATCATTTTACTGTATAAATGTAACAGATATGTCAATTATAGACCAGTATAATACCACAATAATAGGTGATAATGTTAATTTCACTTCCAGGATGAGGAGGATATGTTTTGGAGTGTAGCTAGGTTGCTGTTTGTGAAGCATATCTGCTGTGAAGGTCATTGCTGTGGAATTGCTGTTCGCTCCAAATGCAAGCATAAATTTGTTTGTTTCTTGGCAGGGCTCATAGACTGTTGAACACACAAAATGCTGTACAATAAAAGATGTAGATCCAGGCATCCAAGAATGATTTAGCTTTGATATTAAAATGATTTAATTGTTTTGGATTTGTTCAACTGCTCTAAATTGAAGCATGTGCATGCTTTGATTTACAAGAATATGTACTTTTGTTGCTTTCGTTAAATGACCTATTTTCAGTGAAAAATTTATGTATCCTCTGTTTTTGTGTTATAGATGTAAATGGTCATGAGATGTTGTGGATTTTTAGTTACAAGAAGATACTGGGTCCTTATTGCCATAAAGAATAGAAGATAGCTTGTTAAAGGAATAGTTCACCCAAAAATGAAAATTCTGTCATCATTTACTCATCCTCAAGTTGTCCCAAACTGGTATGAGTTTCTTTCTTCTGTTAAACACAAAAGAATATATTTTGAAGAATATTGGTAACCAGTTGATGGTAGCCATTGACTTACATAGTAATTTTTTTTTCCCACTGCTACAGCCGTGACATCAAAACTCAGAAGACTACCACTGGTTCTTTCAAAATGTATTATGGGTTTTTATAATGGGGTTTTCCGAATCATGAATAAAATGATATCTGTGGTAAACATAACGTTTCATTCTGCAATGTGAATTACATGCACACATACTGAAACTTTTGAAGCAGTTATGTTTATTTGTATTAAAACATATGTTTCTAATAAGTAGCTAGATAAGAATGTTTGAGGTGTGAGTGTGTGCAGCGAAATGTCGAAGTATTGCCAAGTCATGTTTACCACAGACCTTATTTTACTCAGGAGTCTATCAGTGATTTGATTTCTGCATTTTCGCCTAAACTCCCGTTTTATAATCAGTGACACAGTTTGCACTGCTCAACGAGTCTCTTATTTACATTATGTTTTCACTGTGTTAGTTACTGTATGATGAAGTTATTTGTAAGATTGTAGAAATTCTGTTGCAATAAGGAAATCACTGCATCGTGTGCTCAGTAGACATTACTGTGTTCGGCTACAGTGCAGTGCTGCAACCTTTGATGCAATGCGAGTAGTTCTAAAAATATCGAAACACTTTTCATGGTTCATCTTTGCGGCTGTTATAGTAAAAACACAGTAAAGGTTTTCGAGACAGTTCCACATGTAATGCTCATTTTAATAATGAAAGATGTTAGCCAATCAGTGGGTGTTCACACTGAAGTCTCACAGCAGACATCAGAGGGCTAAATTCAGGGTAGAAAATGACAATTGATATCTAAATTATGCCATACTAAGCCATACTAAGATTATAAGTGCACCCCAGGAATCATTATAAAAGAATTTAAAAATGACCCCTTTAAATAAATTGCTTTTCCAAGAACAAACCACTTTAATTATTAGAAACTGTTGTCTAGATTTTTACTGGATCTATGAAGTAATTTCCCCTCATCACATTAAAAAGCAATTAAAAATCTCCCTTTGTAAAATATTTACATGTTTATTATGTAAAATATAGATGATTTATTAAGCAAAATTAAAACTTACTTTTACACAATTACATTTAGTCCAAGTGTGCTTTGTTATAAATAATGATAAAACATTAATTTGGTTGAAGAGTATACAAATGTGCCTTCATAAAATAGTAGTGTTTCTGAATGTACATAGATAAGCATTGAAAGCAATATTATAGTCTGATGCCGAGTGTCATGAAGGTGCGTCTGGGGCTCATTAGAACATACAATAGGTGCCTAAGTCCCTAACAAGGATAGTGTATTTCACATCATTTAAGACTCTCCGGATGTTTTTGGTGTCTGTGGCACAGATGAAGTGAGAGTAAATCATTCTGTAGTTCTTTGACATGTTGCTAACAGCTTTCTGTTCATATAACTGTGCAATGAACCCCAAGGCATCTCCTACGTCCTGACGTTTGCCTGAAGGTGGCGCCAAATCACAGAGGAAAGGAAAGAAAAGAGCGGATCAGGGTATGACAAATAAGATCACACATACATTGCTTTTACTTCATTTAATGTGCATCAAATCACCTTCAAATTCAGGAAAGTATGTTTTTAGATCTGAGAACTGAATCTTCTCAGCCAGGATGTCCATTTTGTTCAGGAAGAGGATGATGAAGGAATTAGCAAACCACCGTGAATGGATGGTATTGTAGAACAGCGACAAACTCTCTTCCATACGGTTCTGGAGCCAAAGAGAAGAAAAGTGCACAGATTTATCAATATTACACAGAAAGGACAGGAGATGCATTTCTGTACATCTGCTTTGAAACAATATGCTTCATAAAAAGCGCTATACAAATAATTGTGAATTGAATTGACATGAGGAGAGAGAGGCAGACACTTACCTCCTTGTTATTCGCCTCTTGAGATCGGTCATACTCACTGAGGGAGGCTAAGAATATGAGAGATGTCACATTCTCAAAGTAATGGATCCACTTCCTTCTCAGTCCTCTTTGACCCCCAACATCTACAAACCTGAAAAACAGACAGACAGACAGAGAGGTCGTTTCACTGGCTTGGATCATTTTTTCACTGTTGGAAAAGAAATGGAGGAGATGAAACAACAAACTTCTGGAGACGCAACAAGAACAGATGCCCGCATCAATGCGTGCTTGTGTGAGTGGATTAAGAGATAGTGGCAGCTCTAGTTTAAAATAAATTTTTATTACACATAAAGTTTGGGTTTGGTTGTTCATTGCTGTACCTGAGAGTCATCTTCTCCAAAGTAAAGCAATGGTCACTGATGCCGGTAGTGGGGAACCGGACTTGAAGAACATCTTGAGGTGTTGGGATGTAGCCTTCAGCTGCGATGCGGTCCAAGTCATCAATAAAACTTTAAAGAACACAGAATTCAAACACTCTTACTGAAAATCCATGTGCCACAGAACTGATTATGAAAGCCTTATTTGCATAACATTCAATGCATGCACTGGCATCAGGAAAGAGGAAATAAACAAAAATGCAGGTAGTCAGTAAAGGGCAGGAACTCTCTGAAATACACTTACTATTTAGTGGAGTCTAGTAGCTGATACTCTCTGCGCCGTCTGTAACAAATCTTAAAGCCTTTGTCTGCCCATAGATGATGAATAGCCTCTACATAACTTCTCTGCAGCTGTGTTATCTGATGTATGTCCAGATCCTGGAACCACTGGGCATAAATCTATGGATATCACAGACCTAATCAGACTGACAATACATTACAGTATATGATCCAGTCTTTCTTAAATTAGTGCACACAGAGATAAAAATGATTTATTTTTACTGTATGTATAAA